CAAAAGTTAATACACGCCAACAATCCCCAAAATCGAAAAATCAATAACAGGCTGACAAAAGCTTCTGGGGATTCGTACCTTCTGCAAGCTCCATCGAAGGAGGATTTGCCCAGGCGACTTGTTATGTTTCTGGGCCAAGTTCTTGATAAGGGGGTCGTCCATCCTAGTTGCTTGAACGAGGGGGCTATAGGCTTCGATAACGACATTGCGCTTTTTTAGCCACTCAACGATATCCGGGCGAGCTAACCAGGGGTGCAGCTCATATTGACCAACGTCGATTTTTCCGCCAATACCTTTGTTATATTCTTCCAGTTCGTCGAGATGGTGTACGCCGTAGTTAGAAACCCCAATGGAGCGTACCTTGCCCTCCTTTTGGGCTTCTACGAGAGCACGCCATGATCCTTCGCGGGCTTCCCTTCCACCATATGGAGCATGAAGGAGCATACTGCAAAAATAAAAATTAGCTGCCATTTGCTACACATGATGTTTCCATTTCCATACGGACTCATGCACTCACAGGTCAATATAATCAAGATTGGCTGCTTTGAGACTAGACTCGATAGAGTCCTTGGTTTGCTCGTAGCCCATGGCCTTCCTTGGCACCTTTGTGGTGAAGAAAACGTCTGAGCGCTTGAGGCCAGATGCACGGACGGCCGCTCCGCACTCGGCCTCATTGTGGTATGCCCTCGCAGAATCGATCTAAAAAATATTTAGAAAACTGACACGTAGGAAAGACCTCCGTTGCTGCTGTACACGTCGTATTGTGCCTGGTTCCAGATATATGACGGCCTGGACGAAGAGTTGGAGAAGGAGTCACTAGACGTACATGTCTATATCCGACTTGGAGAGCCTTCAACACGGCATTCTTAGTTTGTTCCGGAGGTCTGTCAGATATGTATATTTAAGTAGGCTTCCTTTAAGCTTATGGCATTGATCTGTAAAAGGGTTCAGGAACAAACGTTTGATAGACCTATTAGAGCACAGCAGCTCGTCAGTCAAGCACCAACGAAAGAAACGCTGGATTGATTGAAATAGTTCTTAAAATGTGGAAGCACTTGCTTAACGTTGCAGGTGTCTCTTCCTAACTGCTATAAGTAATGGTAGTAAATGATAGATACTTACACCAAATCCCAGAACCGGGATCTCATACCCCGAGTTCATTTTATGAGTCGATTGAAGCTTCAACGGGGCCATATTGATGGGTACTAGTCTATATGTACAAGAAGAGGGAGCGAATTTCGCAACTGGATTCAACACTACGGTTTTGAGACGTCGAAGGATGTCCATAGGGATTATAGACTCGAAAATAAAGTAAGGTGGAGAACAATGGTCAAGAAAATGCTGTCATTATATCATCCACTTCCCTCTCTTCTGGCTATGTAACCTAAGTGTAAACTTGCGCTGCAGAATCATTCTAGCTCCCTCGCTTAGGATAAATAATTGCCCGTATTCGCGAATTCTGACTCATTGACGACCTCAATCGTTATTGAGAAGTGAAGTCCTTTCAACTCTCTGAGGGTGCAGTTGGTGTCTTTACAGTAATGGCGGGGTTGACATTCAATTGCCTCGAGCTATTATGACGACCACACAACCCCACCATCATCCTACGCAGCCGCGACAAAATTTCAACTCCAAAGGCTAAACCACGATAACGACTAATATACAAAGGCCTAGACTTCTTAGGAATACACAGAGCTAATGCAGAACTCCTGTGTAGGCTTGTCTTTTGAATCTGCGCGGATAATTGTCTGGCCAAATATTTGCGGTCTGAGATGCGGCTAATCAAAAATAATATCGAGCGAGATGGCTCGGGTTCTGTCACACTCTACCCCGAAGAGCCAGAGGATATGGTATGTTAATCAATTCCAGCTAGTCTTCCGAAAAGAACACACAAAGATCTACCAAACGCTATCCTTGGTCCGACGTATTTGTACCAGTGCAAAGCTAACCGTGACCTTTCGTCCAGTGGCATTGCTATAACCTCATCCGACCTGATGACCTTCTCAAAGCGAGTGCGATCCGTCGCGTTACTACTACAGCTGCAACGGGAACTACAAGCTCCTCTCGAGTACATATGACGCTACAAATCCGTGTTAAGAGCTTGGATTTTGACCCCCAAAACTCCCAGCTCCATGTCTCCGGCCGAGTCGTTGCGGAAAACCCATACACCAAGATTGGGCAGCATCATACGCTTGATCTGGAACTGCAAAGAAATTTCACACTGGAGAAGCAGGTGGAATCTTCAAGTGAAGCTGGAGGATGGGATAGTGTTGCTGTCGAAATGTTGAAGGAAGCGGTGGATGAAGGAGGGAATAGAAGGGCAGAAGCCGTGGCGGTTGTAATGCAGGAAGGACTGGCGCATATCTGCTTTATCGGTCAATTCCAGACGGTCTTGAAGCAGAAAATAGAATTATCCATTCCGCGGAAGAGACAAGGCGGAGCCGATCATGACAAGGTAAACAACAATAGACATACTCGTAAAAGGAATCTCTCCCGTGAAGTGCATACTGACACGCTATCATAAAGGCCTTAACAAAGTTTTTCCAAACCACCCTCGATACGCTCATCCGCTTGCTCGAAATTAATGTGACATCCCGTCAACCTTCGTCCAGCGGCGTATCTACAAAGCCAATCCTCCTGGCATCTCCCGGCTTCACAGCGGCGGGATTCCAAAAACATATCCAGTCTGCAGCGAATACATCCGCCCCGGGCTTGAAGGGCCTGCTACAAAACATTGTCGTTGTCCACTCCTCATCGGGCCACATGCACTCCCTTGCTGAGGTGCTTCAATCCCCATCCGTCCAAACGCTCCTCTCGAACACCAAATACGCAAAGGAAACGTCGCTCATGGACAGATTCTTCTCCGAACTACGCAAGGAAACCAACAAAGCCACCTATGGTCCGCGAGAGGTGGAATCAGCAGTGGAGCAAGGCGCGGTAGGTCGAGGCGGCGGAGTTCTTATAATATCCAACAGATTATTTCGCGCTCAAAATGTTGCCGAGAGGCATAGATGGGTCTCGCTGGTAGATAAAGTGAGAGATATTGAAGGAGGTGAAGTCCGGGTTCTGAGCTCTGACCATGAAAGCGGGCGAAGGTTGGATGGCCTGGGTGGCATAGCAGCTCTATTGACGTTTCCGATTGTTGAAGAGGATGAGGACGAAGAGGAGGGCGGCGAAGTGGGTGGAGGGGTGCCGGTTGAGGGGGCCTAATGGCAAATGACGGCGAATTTTCCATTTTTAGCCCGAATGGGGGCTATTACACTCCGTATTTTATATTTATATTTTACTTTAAATCGTTGAATAAGGCGTTTGGGATTTCCTTTCATCTAAAGCCTTAGTTCATGATGAGAATAATGAGATAGCCAGGGCTCTAGAAGTTCTCTAGGTCTAAATATTCAAGCCTCATTTGAGACAAACACTTTTTGGACGCCCCTTGTCTGACTACTTTACTCGCGCTTAGTAGGTTGGGTAACTACTACTATCTTGACTATCTTCAACAGATCCTAAACCTTAATACTCTTGTTATTATTTATATGTATCTATTGCCCTGCATTCGTTCGCATGATATCCTATGCTTTTCTACCATGGGATGTGTAACCCTTGATTCAATCTTCGGGGTTTGAATAATGCTGCCATTTTAAGTTACCCTTGTAAGTATGTCTTAAGACCTCCAGAGTTTCTCAATGTCTTTTAAACCCAGCATGCAGCATCCTTAATCACTCCGTCTTCTTCCCGTTCGTATTAGGGGACCTAGTATCCATGAAAGCGGGCCTCTTTGTTCAAATTAACCTAACGGCGCCCCCGCGAAACAAGAAGCCCAGATTTAACAATCAGAGCATGGAGATGGGACATGCCGGCGGCCCCTAACCTGGCCCCAGCGCCGGGTTAACTTTTTCATCACAATTGGCGCGCCGCCTGATACGAGTCGGTAAATAAAATGATTGGTAGCAGGCGGGCAGGGTTACTTTCATTCTCCTCCACTTACTCTTTTTCACTCGATTATTTTCTTGAGGTGGGAATTTCTCCACAGACGAGCGGCTCGCCTAACTAGGTTTGATATGCCCCGGAGTTCAGTTCGTGACAGCCAGTGCCTGGCGAACGGGATTGAACAGCCTATTTCTTCCCCCCCCGGGGGGGTTGGGCTCGATGATAAAGTAAGCAAGGTGCAACATGTAGGACTAGCCTTCCCTTATAGCTTCGCCTTCAAGACTATGAAAATAACATCACGCCTTAACACTCTTATTCGAGTACACTTGACATCTTGAACAAATCAACTTGCGACAGGGGGATCCGGGAGCGAGGCCGCCAATAGCCCAGCCACACATGTCGGATTAAGCGCCGAGAGAACAAGCGTTAGTTATCTCCTATCACAAACTAGTGGAGATTCCCGTCCGCTAGCTAAGTGGGCTGTCCGTGCATCCGCCTGCAGTAGCCTTCTAGGCGACTGGGCCTGACATGGATGATTAGCACCGCGAATTTTGAGGGTGAACGACGTGCAATCCATTTTTAGCCCTGCCTTAGCTGCGGGAATGGAGGTTGTTTCAGGACTAGTTAGAGAGACATGCTCGCCCGGCATTGGGTTCTAGTTATACAACCTATCCTTATTTTCCTCCTGCTCGCGTGCCCTCGGCACGATGGCTGGGTGGGATGTGGCGCGCTTGTCGTCTAAACACCGTTGCAGCTTCTACCTGGATACCTGGTTTACATGCTTGGAGGGTTTTCTACGGGTGTCCTCGGCCTGCTTAGACTGCGATAAGACTCAGTAGGCCCAGCAAGGCTCATGCGTGATATCAAAGACGAATTCACGCAGCGGTAGCATGGGTCCATTTATCACCCCTTCGAGCCGGCATTGTGTCCTGCCCCAGAGACAAGGCTTATCCAAGACAGATAACCCTGCTTTCTCTCTGCCTATTTTTGCGCAAACGCGAGCGCAATAGTACCTACGGCGGTAGATGGGTGCCTGTCATATTGCTTAACATGCAACCCAACTCGAAACAAAGGGGAAATTTTTATATTAGTTGTTTATTGCTTTTCTGTTTCTAATACTTCGCTCGAATGCAGGATCTATAAAAGGTGATGTTTGCAAAGTAGGAGAAAAAAAATAAGACAAGTGATTAGAAATTAAAAATTTACAACATGCGAATCATCGAGGCAACAATAAGGCTGCAACTAAGATGGAACAAAAAGGAGAGACAAAGAAATGCATTTGTTTCTTCTAGCGATAGACGGGTAGGGGTACCACAACTCCTTGTTCGCTAGCGTTAGGCCAAAGATGAATATTAAGAAGAATAACAAGCTGTCTACCGGCAGAATTGTTCGCGAAGATATGCTGGAGTGAAATATTCGCAGAAAATAAATAAAGGGGGATAGAACTAAAATAAAATAAAATAAAATAAAATAAAATAAACAGAAAGAAAAATAATTCAAAGAATAAAATTGCGACCAGCGAAAATTTGGGCCAAAGGTTGGGGATTTATACACACCCCCATAGTTTAGTCAAAAATGCAAAAGAAGCCGGAATGAAAATGAGGAAAATAATCAGAATGCCACACTACAGGGATTAAACTCTAACATAGATGAGTAACAGTTGTTCTGGGCGGGTGGTTGGGCCCGCTACCTTTGTCAAGTCCGATGCTTGAGAAGATAAATATGATAACAATAATGGTTGGAAGTAAAACCAGTGAACGAGGAAGCTGGGGGGTAAAAAAAAGAAAAGAAAAAGAAAAATCACCACAGCCAAATTCGTTTGTTAAGGAAAGTAAAGTTACATATCTTAGGGGTATCTTGAGGCGCGTAAATCGGAAATTGGACAGCGAAGGATTAATATACAGCATTGTCTCGCTGAAAAATATCATCGTGATCTACTTTGACGGCGTCGAGGTGGGCTTTCGGAAGCCTCTGGATTTTCTTCTATGGGATGAGTACCTCCTTTAAGCTGGTGCCACTTCAATTCGCATTGAGACGCTGAGAAAACTCCTGCTCCGAATTCTTGCATCTGCAATAAATGAAATGAAAAAGAAAAATAAGTAAGGGAAAAGAAAGGGAGAGAGGAAACATGAAAAGACTGGGGGAATGGAACATAAAATAAAGAATAACTATTTTCATAGTGAGCAACGAACCTTCTGTGATATGATCTCAAACTTTTCCATTTCCCAGAATTCATATGCTCGTTGAAGTGCTAGGACCTATCAAAGATTATAAGACTAGCGTACGGGGGCAACGAAGTGGATAAGGGACACATACTCACATCTTCCTCGGGCCATTGCATGGCTCGATGCTTCATACGCGTCATTCGCATCTGAAGACAAGACGCTGAATAGTTTGTTCCAAATTGAGCGTTTACTATCTTCACTATTTCTCTCCAAGATAAATTCCGCTCTGTTCTTAATAATCGAACAAGTTCGTTTTCGCGATCCATTTGTGATGGCCTCGACCTTTGCCCCGAATTTCTTCGTGCCGACCGGGATCGGCGGCGCTGTGAGACTTCCACACCTTGGCTTCTTTTTCTGTCGCGCTGGATTTTAAGAAGTCCAGCAGGGTTCGGAGCAATGTTCACATGGCATTTTGCAGAATTGGGTTGCGTAACAAGAGTGCTAGGTTGCGTGGTGCCGTTGAGGGGTCTTAATCCGAAGCCTCCCCCCTGTGATTCCGGTGAAAAATGACTATCCAGTGTGTCGCGATGTGGATGGTCATAAGTGAAGATACCAGGTTGCACATAGTTTGAGGTAGTCGGTCCACTGATTCCGAGTCCATGTGTTGGGGAATCCACAATATCACGATATTGGAGATCTTGATGGCTTTGTGACGGGCTCTCTCTTGGCTCAAGAAAAGGTGTACCGCAAAGACTAATTGGCGTCGGCATGGACCCATTTGTATGCGCTGTAGTGGCAAATGGATTCGCAGAGGCTTGAAAGTTCTATAGAGCTTTATTATTAGCGAATAGGCGCAACCATACAGTGTATAATCGTGGATGTACCGAGTGAGGAGAAACCCATTCTGATTCCATATACCCGTTGATATCTTGGACTCGGTTCTGGTAGGATAGCTCGCTCCAAGCGGGAGCAATTCCAGTAGGATGCTCTTCACCAGTAGAATATTCTTCGCATGGGGAATGCCCTTCGGACGCCATTGGATTACCGATGCGGGTGGGGAGCGCCGGCAACTATAGCTTGATCCTCACTTTCTTTCAAAGTAGGCAAGGAGGGAGCGAGTAAAATGTAAGAGCAAGTAAAAAACTGCGGCAAAGATATGAAATTGTATTGAATAAAGCAATTTCAAGATGCAGCAAAATAAAATTGTCCAGGACGAACGGAGAGGGACAGTTTTTTATAGTCAAAGATGGTATATATTATTATAACATTATTCAGACCTCCCCTCCCCCCCCCCCTCTCCCCCTGCAAAAGGAAAGGTGGTCAGGGCTTTCGGGTGTTGCGCATCAGATCTCCCAAAAGCCCGAAAACGACAGGTTAATTGCAGAGTTGATACGGAGTACTTCGCAAGAGTTTGAGCAGTATGGGGCGATCCAAGATGGGCTCATACACGGCCCTTTGGACAATGAAGGTCCCACTAGACATAAACTGTGCCACCTGAGAATGATGAACGGCGACATGGTGGTTGTTTTGGAGTGTCTGCACCTAAGCGCCAGCCCTCTCCGGCCGCCATCCAGGATTAGGGCCACACACGGACAGAGAAATCAGCCCCCAAAAAGATCCTCGATGACATCTCCAGGATTGAAAGAAGTGGCAAACGTCTAATTCGGCTCCGGCAGCATGGGTGATGTAGGGGTTGCCCACCGGAGGTGTTGGGTAAAAGACAACGAGGTACCTAGGTGTGTACCGCACAGCTATTACTTGCTTCCCAACTACATATACATACAAGAACGCCTGAATCCTAGGCCCAATCACAACTATCCTGGATGTTTTTAGTGGCCAAGAAGTCGGCTTGAATGTCTAGATACCGAGCATTGGTTTGAAGCTATCGCCTAGTGCCGCATTGGCTGATACATGAGAGAAAGTTGACGATATCAGTTGGTGACAATGAAGTCAGGAATGAGGGAAGGACAGGAGGGAGCACGTGGAGGCCATCAAAGAGATTAGGAATCTGTTCCTCCCCTCATCGCCCAGGTACGGTTTGACATGCCATCTGCATCGCCTGAAGGATGCTGCTCAATGAAATAAAAAGCAAAGCGGAGTAACTGACTTGCGGCGCAGGCCACGGGTCGGCCACTTGGGCAGAGGTTCGCGGGGCTTGTAACTCACTCCCTGGTCTCAAGAACCGCAAGTCGCAAGCCAGCAACTATTGGTGTTTCTCAGAAGCTGCAGGTCCTCATTCTCCGCATTGCCGGTTCCTGCCACTTTCAGCGTTGCTGGAGATGGGGGCTATACCAAACAGCAATTGTTGATTGTTGACTGGGCCACAGATAACTGATACTTGCAGTTATTCTCCGGATTGACTTAGAGGCTGTATAAATCCACTGCACATATGACGGGTGTACTAATACAATCTATGGTTAGTCTGCTTGAGAATCTACCCGAAAGGAGACCAGGAGACGATAGTCGGTGTTTATCCTAGAAGACAACGCCTGATCTTTTTTTTTTTTTTAAATCCAACCCTAACTAAATGCGATGCAGTCCCAGGACCACACGGAATTCGGTTAATGGTTCTCCAGATTCCGAGCACAACCCATGCGTCCCAAGGAAGAGCCACCATACTGTTAATTACTAGTCCATAAAACCGACTTGGGGCAAGGGGGAGATAGAGGTTGAGATATGCTGCTGCTGGTTGGGAGGAAAGGGAGACGGGCGGGATTGGCTAACCACGGGGGGCATCGCATCCAGGAAATAAACGCCCCGGCCATTCCGGTTCTGGGTTCGTGGCCAGCATGTGTTGTATAAGTTACGTATCATAAACGCACACAGCAGCAGTCAGGAGGGGGCAGTTCTTTATGAAAAATGGGCCGGCGATGGCCAGGGAAAAAATGTGGGCGCGCAACCCAAGGCGGCGAGGATTGGCGCTTACAGCGACGCGATTATGGGCCCCCAAGGAGGTAACTAGGGGGGGGAGCTAACCTTGGAAACGACCCAGCGGGAGCACGTGATTCCAATCTATTTATAACCCCTGGGCTATTCTCATAACCAACGCCACGAGAACTCGAGTCGTCCGGATGATTTTTCAGATACCAGGCACGAAGAGTATTCCGTATACCTCCTCTCGAAGAAGAGCCTCCGCAGTTGCTCATTATTCAGATTTTAATGATAATCCTTGAACCAACACCCAACGAGACGGCGAGTTGGAGTTTGATCAACAGCTCTATCAGTTAACTAACTGTTATCAAACCCCAGTCCAATTCCCCAAAACCCTAGCTCCCGGAATCGAGCTCCGTCGATTTACTCTGTAGTCTTGACAGGTTCTCAAGAGGCTAGCTAGCCTGGACGGCCCTTTCTTCAACCCTTCGCTCAAGTCCACTCCATTTCATTGCAATATGGGGTGTACAAATTTTGCCCTGGCCCTCGGCCGCTTGAAGACAAGCTCACATTGGCCACTCCAGGGTAATTCTATAAGTTTTTGGGGGCCTGTACAACACGAGGACAAAATCATGGCAGATTGTCGAATCATAAAGCGAGACTGCTTGCGAACGGCGGGATATTATTTACTCTGTGCCGTCGATCAAAGCATTAACTGCATGATTTGCGTTTTTAGAACGCCATGAAGATCTATCAGATAGGGGAGGGGCAAGCCGATCAAGATAAGTGGAGATGCGATGGGTGTTAGATCTCTGGGGTGCATCGTGCATCCAACTAGAATTCGCCATACTGCCCAGAGCCTGTGTAAAAAATAAACCTCTCTTGTCATGTTTATTATTTTTCGGAATCTAAAAGCCTCCGACCAACACAGTTGATACTAAGGCGTTACCTTTCTCTATCTACACATTGGTAACTTGCTATAGGTCTTGGGCATTTACGTTTTGCTTCGGTTTAACTCCTACTCTTGAGACTAATCTCACCAAATCGGCTCGATTATCTGCTTCTGCAGGGACTAGTATCGGCAGCATCATATGCGTTCTGAGCACGGCCCTTCTACCTTTTCTGTTCCAGGCACAGTTCTATTGTTCTTTGGTTCGCGAGAGGCCATCAGGTCACCCTCGTCCACACCGTTACTACGGGATTTTCGGCGGCCCATGCCGACCGCACCGGAAAAAGAAAAATAAGCTAAGAGTAAATTTTTCGTTCACGATAGCCACTCATTTGCCCCATTCTTATCCCATCGACCGCTTGTGACCAACGATTTTCAAATAAAGCCTGCGGAACACTAGCTCTCTTGAAAAAGCATCAAAACCTCGGACCGAAACTTGTTTTAGTTTTCTCGCCTTTGAAGAGTAACCTGTAAAGGATCCTCTCAACAAGGGGGCTGAAATCCGCTGAATTGTTATTGTTTGGTCTGACCTCCACTGTTGGAAAAGATGGAACTACTGAAATGAGAAGAGTACCTAGGTCCCTAGGTATCTAAACAGACCTCTTTTCGAATACAATGAAGTTAACCTGCAGCATCCGCAGCTTACTAAACAATGGCGTGCTCGAGCTTTTCTTCCCTTGGGGTGGGGGCCGCGAACCTCGCAAGATGTGTGGCCATTTTGAACGAAATAGAGAGATTTTCCCGGTCAACAATGGCCGCCGCCATTACCAACCCGAAGGATGAGTAGAATAGCCTGAGCTTCTGTCCTGATCTCCGCGGCTCTCTACCAGTCGACCACCTTCACATCTCAGCTTCCATCCAACTGCGCAGATGAGAAAGTTTAAAACATCCAACATCTGGGCTCGACCTATACTCTGATAACGACCGACAAAGAATTTTTCTTACATCGGGTTTAGGCCCCTGTCTACGAGGATGAAACAGCTACGGCGTGACCTTTTTGTTCCAGCTACCGTCACCAACTTCTCTGCAGGCAAAATATCGATTGCATGTCGTTGGTATACTTGTTTCAAATCTTTTGGTCAAAGAAGCCACCCTTTAAAATCGTTTACATATTTGGAAGCGGTCTTTTGCCCGAATGAACGAAAGCGAAATATAACAAAAACGAAATCAAAAGCATAGCGGAATTAGCCGAAATCTATCCATAGCCTTGAGGTGATCGGGCAATAGTAAGTGCATAATGTCATACATCCAAACTAACGCAGGTACCCCCCAATAACGATATGGACAGAGGAGTTGGTGCATTTGACCTCCATCTTCCAGTTCGTTGCGTACGGAGTCTTCGAACGGAGATGTAACCCCTAGCGGCTGTGGAAACCCCAGCGAATTGAATATGTTATACTACTTTGAAACATTCGCTTTGAAAGAAAGAATATCAGGATGGGTAAAGAAAAACCGGTGTTTGATGGGGATCTCCTAGGGGAACACCAGGTCGTCGTAGCTAGAATTTGACGTTCCATTCCCTTCATATATCCCTGGATGAAAGGCGCAGCAAGCGATATCGAGGCCCATTAGCCGTCCCGCTATCATTTCCTAATATATCTAGAGCCAATGCATTTTTGCAAGAGAATCGAACTATACATGTATATCAACACCTACATATTTTCGGAGCATTATCCGTAGGCAATAATTGTGAAGATAGTGATGATGATGACGATGATGACTGCAGCCTTGAACAGTTTTGGATATGCGGTGCAGAGTATAATCTACCTATCCGAGGGTGCCAATAACTACACGCCTTGCCTCGGAGATTTCCAGCGTCCTAGGTCCGTATCACCCCCTCGTCTATCGATTACGATCCGGCCCGAAACAATTTCTGCAGAAAACAGCACCCTCTTCAAAGCTAAATTCCGAAGAGCGATACACAACCGTTGCGAGCTAGTCGATTGCGCTATACATATGCGAATAATAGTGAGAAAGGTGTTCATTTATCATAACACAATGTTTGCTCTTGTTTCATGGGCGGGTGCGGGGGATGGGACTCAGCGGAGCGTAGGGATTGCAGTTGGTGTTTTTCTACCCCCCTTGAGAGCCGGAGAATCGTGAGATGACGGAGACAGACTTTTTGACCTTGATATATCCTTGGTGAGCTGTAATAGTTTAGGCAATCCACGCGTCATTTTCGAGACAATATAGAGGAGAGCAGAAAGTACCGACTCTATATACACTTATATAGTGCATGAATGTGAGTCCTTTCTATTCGTTGGCATTTCATTTCTTGAGCGTGCATGTCCTTCAGGTGAACTGTCTACAAACCACCTAACCCTGGGGCAACGGAAGGAGAGCACACGAATCGTAGATTCCCAGCTCTCAGATTGCCGTATTTCTCTCATTGAAAATATATTCATAAAAATATATTGTAATGTACATGTACAATGCGTCGGTTGACTATCTCCCCTCTCGTCCAGAGTACACATCTTTCGTACCATCAAAAAAGTTTCATAAATCCCTCTCTAACTCCAACTAAGCTGTTTCCCACACTATATAACAAAAAAAAAAAAAAAAAAAAAAAAGGAGCTGTTCCTAAACGAACATAATCGTTGGGCCATGACCTTTGCCGTGCTCCTCCACCAGACCAAATACAAAAATAAAAATTGCGCAGAAAAAGGAGAGACAAAAAGAGCGAAAAGCGTAAATGTCTTCCACCAAACTCCTGTACCTACGTACCTACAGGGAAAAAAGGAGATAGGAAATGTGATCCAGTACATTAAATCATCATCATAATACAAAGTCGAAGCCGAGAAAGAGAAAGCGAAACAAGGAAAAATACCGAGAGAAGGTGGTAATGAATTTGGGCCTTGAATAAACATCGCTGTCGGGAATGTTTGAGCATCTCCTAGTCGTATGAGGGTTTCTATAACCCATATAGGCTTCCAGTATATGTAAAGCGCCAAGTTGGTAGTTCAAGTACTCGCGATTCCCTTTGGGGCAAACACGTCTCTCTCAACAGTAAGCAACGAAGCCACAGCGCATTTCTCAACGGGGGAGCGGCTATTTATTGGGTTGTTCAGCTCTGAAATGGCCGATATATATGGCCTGTTGATGGCGTGAAACCCAGCGTTGTCTGTTGCCATTTGTAGTTCGCGGATTGCGTCCTGGGGACTGGGGCAAGGAGTAGGAGGAGATGTACCACGGCCTCTATACGAGTTGAATATTGCGTGGAAGAATGCCTCTTCGAGCTTGATAGGTGGGAAGCTGAACTTTTTCGAGTAATCTGATGCAATTAGTGACCAGAAGGAATCGCGGTGGGTATCATAGAGACCCCGGAGTCGGATGGTATCGATGCTTTCAGGGTGATCGAAGGAGCTGGACTGGTTGTCCTGGCTGTGGAAAATGGAAGTATCCAATCCAAGGGAACTATTGATATTTGCGGCGGGTGCCGACTGTACGGAGGGCAGTGTGGAAGTGTTTGGTTTCGGAAGAATGGGAACATGAGAGCGAGATTGTTGGGGAGAATCGACTACGGAAGATGCTGTGGAAGGCATTATTGACCGGGGGCTTGGGGAAGATGGCGCGGTGTACATGTTATCAGATGGCTTGTATTCAAGAGGGTATTCCTGCGTCGTCGGCAGTGGCGAAATCGAACTGATGGAAGACATAGACTCCGTGCGTCTACGCCGGTTGCCGTATGACATCTGATGATAATGGAGGCGGCAAGCAAGTTCAGTCTTGCGCAAGTGGGCAGCAATATGCTTGTAAGGCATTTTGTGCAGGCGAGTCCGTATGAGATATGTTTCCTATGGAGAGGTTAGCTTCTTTTAAGTTCCATGGGAGTACATCAACCGCTAGGACTTGCGTACTTCTTCTTCAGTCCATGCCCGACCTCCCCCTGCAGAAGCTGTTTTTCGATGCTTTTGGATACGGTGCCCAATCCGGTCTAGCTGAAGGGGTGTCGTGGATCGAGCATCCGTCGGTAGGGAGGTGGAGCGGATAGTCGAAGACATGATTCCCAGTGCAATATTTTCCAGAAATAAAAGCTGCTATATAGAAGAAAAGACAGTAGTTATC